TCAGAGTAGGCAAAAGAGTTATGCAGATCGGAAGGTTTGCGATTTGGAGTTCATGGTGGGAGAGCGGGTTTTATTGAAGGTTTCACCCATGAAGGGTGTGATGAGATTTGGAAAGAAGGGCAAGTTGAGCCCAAGATATATTGGCCCTTTTGAGATTGTGGAGCGTATTGGTGAGGTGGCGTATCAGTTGGCTTTGCCACCTGATTTGTCGGGTGTTCATCCTGTATTTCATATTTCGATGTTGAAAAAGTATCATCAGGGTAGTGCTCATGTGATTCAATGGGATTCGGTGTTACTTGATCAGAATTTGACTTTTGAGGAGGAGCCGATAACCATTTTGGATAGGCAAATTCGAAAGTTGAGGTCGAAAGAGATTGCTTCAGTAAAAGTTCAATGGAAGCATTGTCCAGTGGAGGAGGCTACATGGGAGACCGAGTCAGACATGAGGAGTAGATATCCTCAGCTTTTTGAGCGTTCAGGTGCGTTCTATTCTTTTACCGTTCGAAGAAATGAGATTATGCTACACTTATGTAACGACCCGCTAGGTCATTTTGAGAACTAGGACTATTTTGACTTTTCCCAAAACTTTTGAATGGAAAATTTTAAAATTTATTCAGTAGCTACGAGTAATTAGTTGACGAATATTTAGCAAATAATTAATACAGTTAATAGTTAGTGGGCCAAGTCCATAACCACTTCATTTAATACCCTTTACCCTTGACCCATGTAATTAAAATATGTTAGTGTAGTCAGTTTAGAAAAAAAAGGGAGAACAAAAGAGAAGAGAACTGTCAGAGACTGAAACAAAGAAACCTACGAATTTAGTTGAGGATCGCTTCAGGTAACTCCTTTTGATCTTTTTTTTCTTCTTCCAACAATGGGATATTTAATTTGTTAGGTGAGAATGAATACCTTAGCAAATTATTAATTGCTTGCCATTTGTAGTTTAGCGTTAGAGTCAAATTAGTGGAGAATGTTGAATTGATGGTTAGTTAATGAGTGATAATTATTAGCTAATGATTAGATAATGATTGGAAGATTATTAAATGGAAAATCAAGACACGTTGGAGGTTGGGTTTAATTGTTGGTTTCATAATTAAGGTGCAGGTTATAGTTGGGTGAGAATTTTGAATTTCTTGCCACTGTTTTTGGGTTTTTATACTAGCTTTAGACTATAATGGTAACTCCTTGTTTAGTAGGATAAAGCAAATCACAATATGAAATTTTTATGAATTAATATTTAATTAGAGTGGATGATTGCTGAAAGTCGTGGGCAGTAGGGTGTGGTAATGTTGGCTAATGATATTGATTATGTGACTTAGGGAATAAAAAGGGTGTCAAGGTTTGGATGTTTCCTCTTGTTGTTGCCACTGGAACGTAAGTTTTCCTTTGGATAAGATGACGATTACTTAGGAATTTTTCAATTTGGTGGAACCGGTTGTGTCGACCTTTTCTTTTTCTTATTATCCTGCTAGATTTATGAAATTGTTTGTTAAAATGAGACTTAATCTTATGCTTAATTTAGGAGCTTGGTTAGAGATATGAGTGAGTTTTGGGTCTAGGATAGGCATATAATAATTTGGGTGTCTATGAACTCGCGTGCTTACAAATAATGCATGATTGGTAGATTGGGAACGTTCTGAAGCTTTGCGAAAAGGGAAGGAAAAATCTTGAGGATTGTGGCACGTGTTCGGCATTCAAGGTATGTTAAGACTTTCAGACTTGTTGGAGGACGTTTTCATAATTAAAGATTAAAAAGGGGAATAGACAATGGGTAAGGGAGAAAGATGGGGGTCTCGTACCAATGATGTGACAGGCATTGGTACGAGTACCGGTGTTATAAAGGGAAAGTCTATTACTATAGAATGCAGATTTTAATCCGAGAATGCCAAAGCATATGGGCATTAGCTGATATATTGTTAATTGATTAATTGTGTGATTGTGTTCTTATTTGAACCTGTATACTTGTGATGGTTTAGGTGGTTATGTATTATGTTGATACTTGATTGATTGAGATGCATTATCATCCCCTTTATTTGAGATTATATTGTGCACATGCATTGACATGAGATTGAGTATAAGTTGGGCACGTGGAGATCGTCCGTGCTGGGGATGGTGAGATGTTAAGATTATATTTTGGGCACGTGGAGACCGTCCGTGCGGAGATTGTTTGATTTTATGATAGTGCGTTGAGATTGTCCGCACAGACACGTGGAGATCGTCCGTGTCGGTATATGGACCTCGCGAGTCCCCCATGGGTCATGAACTCTCGATGTATTTCCGAGGAGTATCATGTATATACGGTTGAGAGAGTACTTGGCATGATGAGAGGGTTTGATTTAAAAAAACTGATTTTCTACGCGTTTAGGGCAATTTAGATGACTTCCTAAGGGTTTTTAGGACTAAAATACTCCTAAAGAGATAAATAAAACGAGCTGGGAGTCTGAATGATTTTTCAGCCGGCAGTGAGGTCCGTATTGGCTCCGTAACGCGGAGCCATCGCGGAGCTGCTGCCAGGTTTGGGCGTCATTAGTAAATCAGTCATAACTTTTTACTCAGAGCTCGAAATTTAGCAAACTCAGTGGCGTTGGAAAGAGGACTCGAAGGGCTTTAATTTAATATCCTTTAGCTCACCTAAAACATCGTGTACTAGGAGTTATTGTCGTTTGAAGTTGACCCAAAACTTAAGAAAAACTTAGGAATGACTTGATTGCTTTTCTCTTTGGTTCTTCTTGGAACTTAAGGTGCTACATCTAGTGACCTTAACACTTAAGAAATTTTTAATTCCTTGGTAAAATCTCACTCACTACGAAGAACGGTTCAAGTCTTAGCTCAATTTTTTTTGGGGTGTTACATTTTGAGGATAAAAGATCGTATTTGTGTTCCTCGGACAGGTGATTTGACTAGACTGATCTTGGAGGAGGCACATAGCTCGAGGTACTCTATTCATCCGGGGGCTACTAAGATATATCGTGACTTGAAACAACATTATTGGTGGTGTCGTATGAAGAGGGACATTGTAGATTTTGTATCTCAGTGTTTGAATTGCCAGCAAGTAAAGTATGAACACCAAAAGCCTGGAGGTGTAACTCAAAGAATGCCCATACCTGAGTGGAAGTGGGAGCGTATTGCTATGGACTTTGTGGTAGGGTTTCCATGTACATTGGGTAAGTTTGGTGTTATATGGGTCATCGTGGATCGATTGGCTAAGTCTGCACACTTCGTACCAGTTCAGACTACCTATAATTCAGAGAAGTTAGCCAAGAGATAGTTCGTTTGCATGGGGTTCCCATTTCTATTATTTCAAATTGTGGCACATAATTTACATCTCATTTCTGGCGGTCTATGCAGAAGGAGTTGGGCACTCGGGTGGATCTTAGTACATCCTTTCACCCTCAGATGGACGGTCAGTCTGAACGGACTATTCAGGTTCTTGAGGACATGTTGCGGGCATGTGTGATTGACTTTGGTGGTCATTGGGATCAATTTTTTTCATTAGCGGGGATAGCTCAGTTGTGGGGAGCTGCTTGGCTGTTCCGTAGCCCACACCTCCCTCTGTCTTTTATTTATTCAGTTGTTTTAGCATTCAGACATGATATCTCTTATGTTTAGGCTTGTTATTTAGTTTCAAACTTGCACCGTATTTTAGAAGCTCTTGTAATTATGACACCATTTCTTGGGTGGTGTTTTAGCTTTTCCGCATTTCATATTTATGAAGGATTTAGTGTTGGAGATATTCTACTCATTGTTTACTTTTCACCTTTATTACTTAGTTAAAAAGTGGTAAAATTAGGGGGTTGGCTTACCTATCGGTTGAGAACATAGGTGCCATTACGACATGTGAATTTGAGTCCTGACAATATTGCAGGCTTCTTAACTAAATAATACACATTTTAAACAATTTTTGGTATTATATTGCAGGCTCCTTAACTAACTTTTAAGAATTTGAAGAAAATCCAATACATACAATATATGTGTTCCTTCATGCTACTAGGACTATTTCCTTTTTCTTTCTCTCTTTTTATTATCGTTATTATTAGCAGTTCTATGTGTACCATTCTACCTCTTTATTATTAGTAGTATCATTTTACTGTCATCATTGCAATGGAGGGACAGAAAATCTTTCAAGTCATTTAGACAAACCAACTAAGAGAGTTAAATGAGTTTATTTAATCATATTATTTTTAGAAACTTTTGTAATTATTTTGAACTATAGATTGTTGTGACTTTGAAGTATTTTTTTTTTATTTATAATTTTAAAACGTATAAATTTTATCTAAAAATACTTAAAGATTCTCTAATAAGAAGTACTATTGTTTTTGATAAGTCGAGACACTATTAGGCTTCATTTATTTACATTTGATGAAATTTTGAATCTTAATTAATGTTTCAGATCCAAGTCATTTCGTACATACTTACTTTTACAATCAAGGAAATAGAGAAGTATTATATTATTATACTTACTTCATGTCCAACAATATCGTCCATTACTCTGTCAATCAATGAGGAAGCTCGAACTATCGAAGGACCATTCATTAACCATTCAAAAGACTCTTTGGATATAAATTCCTCCATACCGACCAAGCAAGTGGTTGATCCCATCAGATAACCAGCGCTTACGAGTGAATTCTTCATGTGTTCCTCATATTTTGGAATATGGTTATCATCGTTCAACCATTGGGCTTCCTTAAAATAGGCTCTCACCAACTTTTTCATCTAAAAACAATAACAAGTAATTTAGATAGGATAGTATCTTTTTTCCTTTTGGAATTAATGATAACATGGAAATCGAAGAGAAACAACGTGAAGGTTGTCATCATTCTGTTGGGACGCATCAAAAATGTTTTGAATGAGTGTTTCAATTTCATTATGGAAATGATATGCCACTCCCAATCGTTGAATTGCGTCTATCAACACAAGTTTTTGTAGACTACCCTCGCGAGCTTCCACCATTATTTTCCTAATTCTCTCTTTGTACTCATCAACTTCAACTTTTTCTTGATTAGTAATTTCCTGCATCCGAAAAATACCCATGTTATAATATTTAAGACAACAATTAAGATAGAAAAAGATGTGAAGTTTGTGCTACCTCAATCATTATAGCAAAGACTTATTATGTATAATTATCTTTCAAAAGATCTAATGTGCAGACCTGTTTTTACATTAATGTAGTGTAGGTATGGAAGCTTACATACCTGAAAGAACCATCTTTCTTGAAGATCTTGAAGGAAAATCTTGGAAGAAGAACCCTAGCCTTAGCGTTTCTTGAACTCCTTGGCGTTACAATTTTTGGAGTGGATGAGAGGGTTTGATTTAAAAAAACTGATTTTCTACGCGTTTAGGGCAATTTAGATGACTTCCTAAGGGTTTTTAGGACTAAAATACTCCTAAAGAGATAAATAAAACGAGCTGGGAGTCTGAATGATTTTTCAGCCGGCAGTGAGGTCCGTATTGGCTCCGTAACGCGGAGCCATCGCGGAGCTGCTGCCAGGTTTGGGCGTCATTAGTAAATCAGTCATAACTTTTTACTCAGAGCTCGAAATTTAGCAAACTCAGTGGCGTTGGAAAGAGGACTCGAAGGGCTTTAATTTAATATCCTTTAGCTCACCTAAAACATCGTGTACTAGGAGTTATTGTCGTTTGAAGTTGACCCAAAACTTAAGAAAAACTTAGGAATGACTTGATTGCTTTTCTCTTTGGTTCTTCTTGGAACTTAAGGTGCTACATCTAGTGACCTTAACACTTAAGAAATTTTTAATTCCTTGGTAAAATCTCACTCACTACGAAGAACGGTTCAAGTCTTAGCTCAATTTTTTTTGGGGTGTTACATTTTGAGGATAAAAGATCGTATTTGTGTTCCTCGGACAGGTGATTTGACTAGACTGATCTTGGAGGAGGCACATAGCTCGAGGTACTCTATTCATCCGGGGGCTACTAAGATATATCGTGACTTGAAACAACATTATTGGTGGTGTCGTATGAAGAGGGACATTGTAGATTTTGTATCTCAGTGTTTGAATTGCCAGCAAGTAAAGTATGAACACCAAAAGCCTGGAGGTGTAACTCAAAGAATGCCCATACCTGAGTGGAAGTGGGAGCGTATTGCTATGGACTTTGTGGTAGGGTTTCCATGTACATTGGGTAAGTTTGGTGTTATATGGGTCATCGTGGATCGATTGGCTAAGTCTGCACACTTCGTACCAGTTCAGACTACCTATAATTCAGAGAAGTTAGCCAAGAGATAGTTCGTTTGCATGGGGTTCCCATTTCTATTATTTCAAATTGTGGCACATAATTTACATCTCATTTCTGGCGGTCTATGCAGAAGGAGTTGGGCACTCGGGTGGATCTTAGTACATCCTTTCACCCTCAGATGGACGGTCAGTCTGAACGGACTATTCAGGTTCTTGAGGACATGTTGCGGGCATGTGTGATTGACTTTGGTGGTCATTGGGATCAATTTTTTTCATTAGCGGGGATAGCTCAGTTGTGGGGAGCTGCTTGGCTGTTCCGTAGCCCACACCTCCCTCTGTCTTTTATTTATTCAGTTGTTTTAGCATTCAGACATGATATCTCTTATGTTTAGGCTTGTTATTTAGTTTCAAACTTGCACCGTATTTTAGAAGCTCTTGTAATTATGACACCATTTCTTGGGTGGTGTTTTAGCTTTTCCGCATTTCATATTTATGAAGGATTTAGTGTTGGAGATATTCTACTCATTGTTTACTTTTCACCTTTATTACTTAGTTAAAAAGTGGTAAAATTAGGGGGTTGGCTTACCTATCGGTTGAGAACATAGGTGCCATTACGACATGTGAATTTGAGTCCTGACAATATTGCAGGCTTCTTAACTAAATAATACACATTTTAAACAATTTTTGGTATTATATTGCAGGCTCCTTAACTAACTTTTAAGAATTTGAAGAAAATCCAATACATACAATATATGTGTTCCTTCATGCTACTAGGACTATTTCCTTTTTCTTTCTCTCTTTTTATTATCGTTATTATTAGCAGTTCTATGTGTACCATTCTACCTCTTTATTATTAGTAGTATCATTTTACTGTCATCATTGCAATGGAGGGACAGAAAATCTTTCAAGTCATTTAGACAAACCAACTAAGAGAGTTAAATGAGTTTATTTAATCATATTATTTTTAGAAACTTTTGTAATTATTTTGAACTATAGATTGTTGTGACTTTGAAGTATTTTTTTTTTATTTATAATTTTAAAACGTATAAATTTTATCTAAAAATACTTAAAGATTCTCTAATAAGAAGTACTATTGTTTTTGATAAGTCGAGACACTATTAGGCTTCATTTATTTACATTTGATGAAATTTTGAATCTTAATTAATGTTTCAGATCCAAGTCATTTCGTACATACTTACTTTTACAATCAAGGAAATAGAGAAGTATTATATTATTATACTTACTTCATGTCCAACAATATCGTCCATTACTCTGTCAATCAATGAGGAAGCTCGAACTATCGAAGGACCATTCATTAACCATTCAAAAGACTCTTTGGATATAAATTCCTCCATACCGACCAAGCAAGTGGTTGATCCCATCAGATAACCAGCGCTTACGAGTGAATTCTTCATGTGTTCCTCATATTTTGGAATATGGTTATCATCGTTCAACCATTGGGCTTCCTTAAAATAGGCTCTCACCAACTTTTTCATCTAAAAACAATAACAAGTAATTTAGATAGGATAGTATCTTTTTTCCTTTTGGAATTAATGATAACATGGAAATCGAAGAGAAACAACGTGAAGGTTGTCATCATTCTGTTGGGACGCATCAAAAATGTTTTGAATGAGTGTTTCAATTTCATTATGGAAATGATATGCCACTCCCAATCGTTGAATTGCGTCTATCAACACAAGTTTTTGTAGACTACCCTCGCGAGCTTCCACCATTATTTTCCTAATTCTCTCTTTGTACTCATCAACTTCAACTTTTTCTTGATTAGTAATTTCCTGCATCCGAAAAATACCCATGTTATAATATTTAAGACAACAATTAAGATAGAAAAAGATGTGAAGTTTGTGCTACCTCAATCATTATAGCAAAGACTTATTATGTATAATTATCTTTCAAAAGATCTAATGTGCAGACCTGTTTTTACATTAATGTAGTGTAGGTATGGAAGCTTACATACCTGAAAGAACCATCTTTCTTGAAGATCTTGAAGGAAAATCTTGGAAGAAGAACCCTAGCCTTAGCGTTTCTTGAACTCCTTGGCGTTACAATTTTTGGAGTGGATGAGAGGGTTTGATTTAAAAAAACTGATTTTCTACGCGTTTAGGGCAATTTAGATGACTTCCTAAGGGTTTTTAGGACTAAAATACTCCTAAAGAGATAAATAAAACGAGCTGGGAGTCTGAATGATTTTTCAGCCGGCAGTGAGGTCCGTATTGGCTCCGTAACGCGGAGCCATCGCGGAGCTGCTGCCAGGTTTGGGCGTCATTAGTAAATCAGTCATAACTTTTTACTCAGAGCTCGAAATTTAGCAAACTCAGTGGCGTTGGAAAGAGGACTCGAAGGGCTTTAATTTAATATCCTTTAGCTCACCTAAAACATCGTGTACTAGGAGTTATTGTCGTTTGAAGTTGACCCAAAACTTAAGAAAAACTTAGGAATGACTTGATTGCTTTTCTCTTTGGTTCTTCTTGGAACTTAAGGTGCTACATCTAGTGACCTTAACACTTAAGAAATTTTTAATTCCTTGGTAAAATCTCACTCACTACGAAGAACGGTTCAAGTCTTAGCTCAATTTTTTTTGGGGTGTTACATTTTGAGGATAAAAGATCGTATTTGTGTTCCTCGGACAGGTGATTTGACTAGACTGATCTTGGAGGAGGCACATAGCTCGAGGTACTCTATTCATCCGGGGGCTACTAAGATATATCGTGACTTGAAACAACATTATTGGTGGTGTCGTATGAAGAGGGACATTGTAGATTTTGTATCTCAGTGTTTGAATTGCCAGCAAGTAAAGTATGAACACCAAAAGCCTGGAGGTGTAACTCAAAGAATGCCCATACCTGAGTGGAAGTGGGAGCGTATTGCTATGGACTTTGTGGTAGGGTTTCCATGTACATTGGGTAAGTTTGGTGTTATATGGGTCATCGTGGATCGATTGGCTAAGTCTGCACACTTCGTACCAGTTCAGACTACCTATAATTCAGAGAAGTTAGCCAAGAGATAGTTCGTTTGCATGGGGTTCCCATTTCTATTATTTCAAATTGTGGCACATAATTTACATCTCATTTCTGGCGGTCTATGCAGAAGGAGTTGGGCACTCGGGTGGATCTTAGTACATCCTTTCACCCTCAGATGGACGGTCAGTCTGAACGGACTATTCAGGTTCTTGAGGACATGTTGCGGGCATGTGTGATCGACTTTGGTGGTCAGTGGGATCAATTTTTGCCTTTAGCGGAGTTTGCTTACAATAATAGTT